CCAATACACCTGAATAGGTTGCTGTCCTTATTAGCATCTTTGTGACATGATGTTCTAAAAAGCTTATTTTAATCCCTGTGGTATGGCACTTACTCTGTGTCATTTTGTAATTATTTTATATTGTATATGTCAAAGATCTCATCTATTATTAAATGTTGAATACATTTTTATGATCAGAGTCTGTTTTGTATAATTCATATTTAGACGCTTTTGTGCCTCTCTAGAATTTAATAGAATGTTGAGATGATATTGTGAATCAAGCAATGTGTTCGTTGTAGAAATGGATAAATGTAAAAATAATTCATTGTTATATTTCTAAGTAAGCTATAATGTAACATTTTCATGACAAACTTAGACTACATAGATTTTTTTCCCTTTTCTCATTTAAAAAAAAAAAAAAACTTCTTTTCTTTTTGAGTAATGTACAAAATGCCACTGATGAAAGAATTGGTGGACAAACATTCCTACACATTCATGTCTAGTTGGCTCCTTCAAATGCAAATTCATTTACAAATAGAACCTTTGTACATGTGGGAATATCATCATAGCCTTGATGGATCATATAAGGAATGAAACCTGACCCAGCAATCCCACTTTTGGGCATTTACCCAAATGATCACAAACAAGACCACACTAAAGCTACCAGCATGGCTACGTTTGTTGCAGCACTATTTACAATGGCTAAGATATGGAACCAACTCAGATGCCCCTCAGTAGATGAATGGATCAAGAAAATGTGGTATATATACACAATGGAATTCTATACCTCCATCAGAAAGAATGACATTGCCCCATTTGTTAGGAAATGGAAAGATCTGGAAAAAATTATATTAAGTGAAGTAAGCCAGGCCCAAAGAAACATAGGTCCCATGGTTTCCCTTATTTGCAATATCTAGTATATGTCTGAGTCAAGCAGAAAAGGTCAGATAAGGTGATGTTAGGGAAATTAACCCTAAGGTATGTATTCAAATGTTTTTTTTCTTTCATGCGATTGTTTCTAACACATTTATAAGATTATTTCTTTGTTGCTTTGTATGTCCCTCCCCCACAGTATAACCCCTGCTTTCACTGTATTGGATGTCGGTATAATTTGTGGAGGGGAAGGGGAAAAACAAAACGTTTAAATAAGGGTACACGTGGACCCATTGCAACAATGAAATGTACAAGTCGTTATGTCAAAAACGAACTTTACAACTTTGGTGGGGGGGTGGGGGCGGAGGAAGCAGGGAGGATGGGGTGGGGGAGGGGGGAGGAAGCAGGGAGGATCAGGTAGGAGAGCAGGGGGAGGATGGGAAGCGATGGGAAGGGGAAACAAAGGAGGAGGCTACAATGCTTGATAAGAAATGTACTCATTATATTGCCCATGTAATTGTAACTCCTCTGTACAGTATTTTCACAATAAAAAAAAAAGATCAGGAAAAAAAAAGGAGTGGAACCATATGATGACAGAAACAGAGATCAGAGGATGCCACTGAAAACCAATGAATGCCATAGTAGAGAGACAGGAAGAAGTAAAGAGGATTGTTTTACAGCTAGTAGAGGAGAGAGCTGCCTTATTGATGGTGGTTTCGGACCTCCACCATACAGAAGTATAGGAGAGTAACTTTCTTACATATTAAACCACTCTGTCTTTGGTATTTCAAAAAATAGCCTTAGAAGCTCATATGGACTGGTAATAGTAAGTATTTTAGGTGTAATAATGAATCAGAATGATAAGCTGTATAGAACTTTACAGCTTTGGTGCAGGGTGGGGAGGGAGGGGGGTGGGAGGGAGGGTGGGAGATGGGAAGGGATGGGAAGGGGAAACAAAGGAGGAGGCAACAATGCTTAATAAGAAATGTACTGATTACCTTGCCCATGTAATTATAACCCCTCTGCATGGTATTTTCACAATTAAAAAAAAAGTTCCTAGGCATCACTTCTTAAGAGAGAAAAATCACCAGGAACAAATGGAAATGTTGTGATGAAATCATTTTTACAATATATTGAGCATGCTCTGGGCTTAGCACATATTTGACACAAATTCTTCGGCCTATCCATCTGCAAGCAGGCATGAGAATCCATTGTCAAAATGATGACCTGAGGCACTCTATCACATTACGAAACTGCCCATCCTTTTCACTTTTCAGTGTGTCTGAGACAAGAAGATGGAATAATTCACCTTAAAGAGATTTACAGTTACAAAGAATTGAACCAAAATACTCATTCTTCTTAAAATGTACTGGAGTTTTGAGCCAGGCACTGGGGCTTCACACCTATAATCCTAGATACTCAGGAAAGAGATCTGAGTATAGTAGACCAAAGTCAGCCCAGGAAGGAAAATTCATGAGAACCTTATATATAATTAACTACCCAAAAGCTGGTTGTGGTTTAAGTAGTAGAACGTTAGTCTTGTACCAAAAGAAAATGCTTAGAGACAGTGGCCAGGTCCCCAAGTTAATGTCTCCAGACTGGCACACACACACACACACACACACACACACACACACACACACACACAATTTCAACCATTTCCTCCATTTCAGTGATTACTGACTCATATTTTGTTTTTGTATCAGTCTCAAACTCCTTCAAAGAATCTAGACCTTATCCTTTCTTTCCTGGGAAAGTACACATATGCAAATAAACATACACATGCACACATACAGATATACAGATAATGCACTGTGTTACTGTGATCACTTTAGAATTGTCAGATACATCTTAATACCAGGGATTAGATATTATTGTGTTTCTAAACAACCTTATCAGAGAAACAATAAATTAGTAAATCAAATTTGATCTCCAAATCTGAAAGTAGTATTCAGATATCTTCAATTCAATTAATGCATTTGGTTAAGAACAGATTTAAATGTGGTGTTAATGTATTTTCACAAACTCCTAGCTGTGGACTATTGTGTGAAATCAGTGGATTATGAAATATATGGAAAGTAAGGTTTTTATTCAAGAGTCTGCATCTAGTTGAGGAAACATACAAGACAAACAGCTAAGATCGCCATATAAAGATGGGTAAGACACCACATCCACATGTGGTGTTATAACAGAAAATACTGAACTCTGGATTGGTCTCGGACTGTTCCACATTCTTCTTCAGTGATCACCTATTGGAAACTTAAACTGCTGGCCATGTGCTATAGTATTTTATTGACAAAAGCTTTTGTTTCTACATTAGGAAAGTATTCTTGAAATCCATACTTCCATTAAAAAAAAAAAACTGTAGAGAGACGAAGATCATAGAAACAAATCACAGAAATAAATTAAAAAAAAACATTGCAGGTATAGGATAGAAAATGACTTTCTCTCAGCTAAGTAGGCATGATCCTTGCTATATATGGATACAGAAACATGTTAGATAAGAAGACAAGCTATGTTTTGGGTGTAGTGGTATGTGGTAGAGGATGCTGCAGGTGTGGAGAGGACTTGTAGGTTGCTAGCTTCTAGATTCTGGCAGAGATCATCTGTCCTTGAGATAAAGCCAGAAATGTGCTAATAGATTTTACTGCTGAGAGCTAGCATCCAAGCTACATTCCTGTTTCTCCTAGTGATTACATGAGGTCTCTATATAGTCTAGTAATACTTTCTGACCAAGGGATGTATTTTGCCATAACCAAAAACAATCATTCCTACAATTCCTCTAAAAGTACATGATTTACTAATCTTCCTATCCCCATGTACCAATCAATGGATTTTTGTAAATACTTAAAATCTGCATATAGACCAGTGACTTCATTTCTGGCAATGTTTTTCTTCCACCAACTTCTTTAAATGACAATATAACACGAAATGAAAAGATTAAGTAGCTTTATAGCTGGCGATTGAAGAGGCAGATTAGTAGATCAGAATTAGAATGAGTCCTGAGATTCATGAGCCAAAGAAGCAGGTGAAAGAATGGGACTAATCACAGAGATTTTGAGTATAAAATAGTGTTGGTTTAACTAATTGCATCCAATACAGATGAAAAAGGTGGAAATAGGAAATACAAAAATTAATGGAAATACTATCATTACAGTCAGGAATATGCGGCTCCTGCCTGTAATCTTAGTTATGTGGGACACTGAGAATGGGAGGATCACAGTTCAAGGCCAGTCTAGACAGAAAAGTGTGTTAGCCCATACTCAACCCGTGCAGGATGGCAACTACCTGTCATCTTAAATTATGTGGAGCATGAGATTCAGAGGTCCCAGTTCCAGGCCAGTCCAGGCAATAAAATCTGTGACAATCCTTGTGAGCAGATGGAAGTTGGATACCATGTAGACAGAAAAGTGTGTTAGCCCATACTCAACCATGCAGGGTGGCAACTACCTGTCATCTCAAATTGTGTGGAGGGTGAGATTCAGAGGTCCCAGTTCCAGGCCAGCCCAGGCAATAAAATCTGTGAAAATTCTTGTGAGCAGATGGAAGTTGGATACCATGTCCACTCTATCATCTCATGAATGATGAGATGCATAAAACAGGTATATCAAGAGCCCAGGACCAAGCCTACAAAAACAAGTAAATCTTTATCTCAAAAATAATGAGTTAAAAATGGGGCTGGAGGATTTGTTCAGAAATAAAGAGTGCTCACTGAGTAAATAGGACGCCCTGAGAAAGCACATTTTATATAATAATTTCCTTCCATGTTTATGGTTACCATGAAAGCAGTTATGGCTTGATTATGCCCTAAATACATTTTACAATCTAGATTGTATCTTGACAGCATGAAGACAATTACAGCTAGTTTTCCTTGTCAGGATCTTTGAGGATACATGCCCAAGAAGAATATAACTACAGGAGGAAAAAAAAGGAAGAACTTTAGTATTATAATGTTATTTTGTGTGTGTGTGTGTGTGTGTGTGTGTGTGTGTGTGTGTGTGTGTGTTTGCAATTCTCAGCCTTTCATTTCCTCTCCATTAGTCTGTAATTGGATGTCATGTTAGCCTGTGATAAATACTCCAATCTTATTGAAATTTTGTGTGTTCAATTGTGTGTATTCTCCGTATCTCCTGAGGTACAAATCTTACCTCATTCTGGAGGTCTCGGATCATTTTGCTTTTCCTTTCCACTTCAGTCTTTAAAAAATTAATCTGAAAATAAATAGAATATTATGTAAATACATTCTAAGCTTATTTCTATATCTTTTATATTTTTTATTATATAGTTCTAGCTACTCAGGAGTCTGAGATCTGAGATTCACTACTCAAGGCCAGCCTGGGAAGAAAAGTCCTTGAGACTATTATCTCCAATTAACCACCAAAAAAAAAAAAAAAAAAAAAAATACCGTAGGGGAGGAACATACAAAAAAACAAACAAACAAAAATCACATGGTACATTATAAATATGTTAGAAACAAAAGCAAGAAAGAAAAATACAGTGCCCTGCATCTTCTCTAATTTGGAGAGGGGAAGGGAAAATGCTTAAATAGGGATATAGGTTGACCCATTGTAACAATGAAATAAACTTTACAATTTAGGTGGGGGCTGGTGGGGAGTGGAGGTGAGAGAGAAGGGATGGTAGGGGAAAAATGAAGGAGAGGCAACAATGCTTGATAGGAAATGTACTCATTACCTTACTCATGTAACTGTAACCCCACTATACAGTATTTTTACAACAAAAATGCATTTTAAAAAAGCAACAACAACAAAGGAAAAACTACAAATGTAGAAGTGGAGTTGTGACCAAACTGGTAGCACTAGTCTTGAGCATAAAACCTCAGGGACTTAGGTCCTGAAATTCAAGGCTTAGGACTAAAATAGATTCTATGGTGTAGTATAGTAATACCTGTCCTTAAAATGTTCTCAGATAAGTTTAGCAGATGGCCAAGCTTGAGAAAAAAACATGTTTTTTTCCCCCAAAATAGGAGCAATTTAGATACTAATCCAAATAAATCTTAACACTTTTCCCCCTTCATTGTGTAATCTTTCTGTTTCCGTAATTATTATTCCAACTGTGTGTGTGTGTGTGTGTGTGTGTGTGTGTGTGTGTGTGTGTATGCATGCACATGTTTGTTTGTGTTGATGGGTGAGTGGAGGTGCAGAAATACCTGGTTCTGGATTTTTTTTTTTTTTTGCTGGTCCTGAGGCTTGAACTCAGGGCCTGGGCTCTGTCCCTGAGTATCTTTTTGCTCAAGACTAGCACTCATGGGAAGGAGAAACAAAGGAGGAGGTAACAATGCTTGATAAGAAATGTACTCGTTATTTTGCCCATGTAATTGCAACCCCTCTGTATGATATTTTCACAATGGAAAAAAAAAAAAAGAACTAGCATTCTACCACTTGAGCCACAGGATTTTTCTGAGTAGTTTATGGACAATAAGAAACTCAACATCCTGAACAGCTAGGATCACAGATATGAGCCACAGGTGCCTGGACCTTCCTAAGGACTTTGCTAAAGGTTCACTGAAAGCCTTACAGACCCTATTAATGCCCACACCTTGCTGAACCATAAGGACATATCTTCCCTTAATATGCTACAAAAAACACCAACCAATTTTGATGGTGAAAAGCCATGAGATGCCTGAGAAGAATTATTGTGTCTATAGTATTAACCATATTACTTCACAAAGAAAGCTTGACATCACAGGTTTCTGACAAATATTCTACACACTCATTACCTCATTGTGTAGAGAGTTGGTATTTGTTGATGAACAATGATATTACATGAAAGTATTAAATGTCATTTGAAATTAAATATCTATATGCCTCCCATATAAGATGGTTTTGCCCATTTCTACCTAATCATTTATTAAACCTAGAAATTTTTTTAGATTACAGATTTGTCTTTAAGCTATGAACTACTTGAAGCATTAATTTTATTAATAGCTTACTGTCATGGATACAATATTTTCTCCATATCCTGCTTGTATATTGGTGCATATAGGTATATAATTCTTTAAATGTTAAATACAGACACAAAAACTTGTGAATGCAGCACTTAATACTTATTACCTACACTATATTCACAATATGTAAAAATATTATGATTTTGAGAATACTGGTTTAGAATCCCAGCAGATTTTAACAACCTTAGTTTAAATATTCGTAGCAGCTAGTTATGAAATAATTCTCCTAGACAGAAAATAGTTTTTATTTATAGACAAATAAAGAATAGAAGAACAGGGGCATTTTGTTCTTAATGGTAATAAAAACTTTAAGGTTGGGTCTCGCTTTGACTTATTTTTATGTTACTTAGCATAAATTAAGCCACAAAAAATAAGAATAGCTAAAAGCATCCATTGGTCATTAATATTCTTAATTGTTTTGTTAGACTTGGAAGTTTATTTTTCTTTGCTGTGTTCTAGGGTTTCCCATGAGGAACACAGTGCTGAAAGATATTCCCCTCCATTACTAGGCTAGGGATAAAAACAAACGCTCATGTCTCTTGCAATGCTTGAATAAACAGAATTAGATCAAGAAATATTTGCTGATTTATAATTTATTCAAATATGCATCATCTTTCTTTTTTATGTTTTAATAAGCAAAAGTACCACTATAACTCATAGCATCTATAATACATTTTTAACAGAATTGTGTTTTTTAATCTTTATGGAAAAGGAATAAAAATCCAAAGTGTAATCAGAGGCAGCTTAGGAATTACCTGTCCTTAATGTGAAATTGAACAAAATACTTGTGGAATCAAAGTAAAATATTTCTCTTTAGAGAGAGTGAGAAATTATAATTTAGCTGTTCTTTATTTTAACCCTAAATTCATTTATATTTATAGTATTTCAAACAGAAAATATTCAATTAGTGATTGATAAAAGTAAAGAAATATGTAGTTATTCAATGCTAAATTAGCTTAAACTTTTCATATTGGAAGAAAAATCAGTTTTCTGCATGATTATATACCAAAATTTGTACAAAATAATTTCAGTAGTAAGAAATTTGTCTTCAAAAACATGCTACTTGATGCAAATAAAATAGAAAATAAACACATTCTATACATGCATATTAGGTGTCATAGATATTCACATATATATGAACAAATATTTTGAGCATTTCATACTTTTTAAAAAGATCTATTGATTCTGTCTGGGCTCTGGAAATTACAAGATAACACTCATTTCATTATCAATAGTAGCATTCTCAAGATCTGTTGGCCTTTGTGAAACATCACTTCTTTTAGGAACCAAATAGGCTTTAAATCAGATTCCTGTTCTAGAAACAGATATATAAGGGCCAATCCCTGAATGTGGGCCAAAGGTGGACCTGAAAAATAGAGCAGAAATCTATGGATAGAATTTCCTCAGAAGCCTTAGTTTCTGCTTTTGGTGAATACTTATTGAAGGAGCTAAAAAAGGACAGGAAAGGAAACATTGTTTTGAAAAAGATCTGCAGAGTAGCTCAACCCTTAACTTTGTAGGGGTGTATTATTGATATTGTCAATATAAATTATTGAATAGTAAAGATGGCATAACCCTGCCCTTAAAATATTACTATTCAGTAGTTATGAGTGTAGCTTAGAGAACAGCAGAGTTCAATTTAATTTCAGTGCAATTTTATTACAATATCCAAAAAGCCAGGATGCTTAGAGAGGCAGCATCCTTTATGTCCTCTGTCTATTGGTGAACCATTTATTGAAAACTAGATGACTCCTGAGGATTAAATGTGACATTAATATTTGTTCGGGATATGTAATAACCAAATCAGTATTGTCATAACTGATACTTTTTTATTCTGCTTTCATTTTTACTTTACATAGGAGCAATTTTCCATATTGATTGAAAAAAGATTTTCCAGCTCCAAAATAATTGCATAAAGAACACAATGCACTTACAGTAGCTTGGTGTTTCTCAGCTTTCTCTGATGTTTCTTTAAGTTGACTTTGTAGTGCTTCCTGGAGAGACTTCATTTCTTCTCTAGTATAAAACAGACAGAAAAATGAAGATACAGTTATTTCCTGTATACATTATAAGAGGAAGTTTGGCTCGCTACCTACATTTAGGAAACAGGTTACTCGAATTTTATAGAGCTAAACGTACACAAACAGGATATGGGCTCTCTTTCACATGAAAATATTAAAATCCAGTTGTACTAAAGGAACTTGCCTTGCTATCATGTTTTATAAGAACTCCACTGTGTGAGTCATTTGTGAGCTACATAATGTGTTAGGTCAAATCAATACATTAATTCAAGTTTAAAAGCTAATTTCACTGACAGCATGCCAGAATGTGAGTGAACATGCTGGTTAGAAGTCAGCATAGTGTTGCTGATAGAACAAAATAATGTTTTCTTCTGGTGCTCCTAACTGATTAATTCTATACTGTGGTGCTTTAGACACCCTTTACAATGCCTGAGAACTTTAAAAACAATTTAAAAGGAAAAGAAGCATTTCTAACAATGGTTTCCTCATTAAAGGGGCATTCTCTAGGAAACACATTCCCTTATATACATAGACAATGTGTCTCAAGCTCATTAGCATACAAAAACTGCCTCCTAGTTTGAAATAGAAGTATGTTCACACATTTGCATTCTTATTAGGGAAGAATGCACCAAGAATGAAACAGGAACTTTTTCTAGTTTTACTGACCTAAACTAGTTTAAAATTATTAATTAATTGAAAAAGTACTAGCTCTGATAACTTGAGCAAAGAACAAACTCCTTCATACTCAGTTTCTTCATCCATAAACTGGGCATAGTGATAAAAATATGCTGTGATCTTGCAGGTCCATTTTAGATGACATAGGGAAAAAATAATGGCACAATGTTCAGAAAAGTTATAGAACAAATGTTAGACTATTGCAAGCAAATCACCAGCATTCTATATTCAAACTTTGACCATCATGTACATAAAAACACAGCAGTTTTTACATCTATGAGGTCTTAAAGTTGCTCCTCGATTTTGAACTCTAGGAATTTCTTTATCTTCTTTATCTTAACATTCAAGATTTTAAGTATTTAAATGCTTATCTGAATCAAGTTGGACTTTATTTAGTAAAGCAAAATGCAGTCACAAAAATGTTAATATAATTATAGTCTCATGTTAGCCCTTCAATGACTCATATGTGCTTGAATAATGTGTTTTACTTAAAGTGGTTGTTAAATTATACCTTTCTTTATAGACTCATTGTAATTTCATTAATCAGACTGGCTTCCTATATGAACACTCAAAACTCAGATTACACTATTAATTTCAATACGTTTCAAAAAGTACATTTGGGTCATTATATAATATAATATGAATGAATATAATATATAGTAGTATGTATAATATATTAAATATATTAAACTCTAAGATTTACATTGTATATCTATAAGTATATGTATATGTATGTGTTTGTGCATATATTTGATTTATAATGTTCACAGCATCTTTATAAGATTCACATCAAGCTACACTAGTAGCTCTATCATGTGACTCTCTATCATGTTGTGACTCTTTTATGAATATTATCTCGAATACTAAATAATCCTAAAAATGTAGTCAATTCATGTTTTCTCTCTGACTATATATCTGCCTACCTACCTACCTACTTACCTACCTACCTATCTGACAGTGTGTGTCATGCACGCACTTTTCACTCAGTCTTGACAGAAGTACACTCTGATGTTTCTCTCCACATAGCTGTCTATGGCCAACTCATATACACCAAGTTATTTAAAATCTAGTCATGGTTTTCAAAAACCTCTCAAAGTTTTCACTCGGTTCAAAAGTGGTACTCAATTTGAGGCAGTTTTGTTTTGGTTGCCAACTCAGCTTATTTAGCACACATAGAGAAGGATGGCCCATTGGGAGCAAACTATAAAGTCCAGATGTCAAGGACCTGAGGACAAAGGATGTGAGGAAAATGTAACACTTGAGAGCTAATATAGATCTACAAGAGAGCCACAGCATATTGTACTTCTTTGTCCTTATAGAAGATAGCTAAAATTTCACAATAATTACTATTTGATATTAAGATATCAATCATCTTTGTAAATTATTGTTTACTTTTTCTCTATTTAGTAACGTATCTTACTGATCCCAGTCAAAGTCATATAATCATGGTTTCCTTTTTAAAAAAACATTTTTGTTTTTGTTTTTGTTGCTTCTATCTTGTGTTAGATCTGGAACTTGAAATCAAGGCCTGGGCTATGTCCCTGAGCATTTTTGCTTTAGGCTATCTATGACTTTGGCCTCAGGCATATCTGGCTTTTGCAGTTAATTGGAGATAAGAATCTCTAAGACTTTCTTGGTGGGCTGGTGTTCACCTGCCTGCCTCAGATCTCAGCCTCCTGACTAATTAGGACTAGAGGTGAAAGCCACAAGCATCTGACTCTATACCAATTCTTAAGTAATTAACAAATAACTATTATACAAAAATATCATTAGCCCTTTTGAAAACTTGCATTTCTTTAGAATTTATTGAAATGCTTATTCTGATTTTGTGTGCACAAAATTATATTTGCGTTAAACTACTTTCAGAATTTGGGATTCAGCTTTTACATTTCAGGATCAAAATGTTTTATTTTTATTCCTTCCATTAAAAGGTTTAGTCCTTTGTGATGCTAAACATGTAGATGGTGTGATGACTTCAATATTCTCAATAAAGCTAATAAGCATTGTCCTGGTTTTCTAGGTACTTTTTCATGCCATGAGAACAGACACCAAAAATTACAGAAAATATCAGCAAACTGACACAGTTGGTTTTTCCCTAATAGTATTAGACACAAACTGGTTCTCTCCTTTAATGAAGAAAGGCTGAATTTACTGAAAAATAAAATTCTAACCCCATTCTAATCTTTATATAATGATCCTGGCTGAGAACTGTTGTTGCTTCTGGAGTAAGGGTCTTCTTTTTGCATGCATCTGTCATCCCCTCCTGAACAAGGCTGACAGAAAATGTACATTCCATGGTATAATTTCCCATGGAATTATCTACAATGACTATTCTATTGTTCATTGCTACAGAGGTGTATCTTCTTACATTCTTCAATCTGCACTGTGTCATTCAAGTGCTACAACCCCTTCCTTGTTGTAGCAAGGTTTTTGTGGGGTTTTTAATTTTTCAAGTTCTCTTAAGTTTAATTTTATTTTAAAGGTTATGTGTAGATAGGTTACAGTTACATAAGTAAGAAAATGAGTACATTTCCTATTGAACAGTGTTACCTGCTTCCTCATTTTCTACCACTTTCCCTCCCTTCCTCCCCCACCCCACTGGCTCTCTTCATCCCCAAGTTGTAAGACACTATTGGAAATACAAGACACTGTATTTCAGTGTCTTTTGAGTATCACTGTTACAGTGGTTCATCTTTCTTCTTTGTCTCACCATTTCTGTGATTCCCCTTCCCTTCTCTCTTATAGGCAAGACTAAGGGTATTGGAATAAAAAACAATGACAATAGGGGATAAATCATGGGGAGAAAAGAAAAGAAAATTAAAAAAAAGAAAAAATGCAAACAGTACATGCACACACACTTGTTTCTATATCTTGTTTTGTTTCCATATCTTGGAGTTCATTTTGATTAGCATCATTTTTTTTATTTTTTATTTTTGTCAGTCATGGGCCTTGAACTCTCAGCTTGGTCACTGTCCCTGGGCTCTTCAGCTCAAGGCCAGCGCTCTACCACTTGAGCCACAGTGCCACTTCCTAATTAGCATCATTTTATATGGTCATATGTACATAGCTATTGAACTATTGTGGTGATCCTCTGCTAGAACAAGTGAAGATCTATTCCAGTTATTACACATGAGGGAAACCATGGAGCCTATGTTTCTTTGGATCTGGCTAATTCACTTAATACGACTTTCGCAACTAATTTTTGATGATTTTCCTTTCCAAACATGAAATGGTCTATCATAATAACTTTTCCATGTCTGTAATGTCTTTTCTGTCTTTCCTTTTAATTTTTATTTTTTTTTTTAGTATTGGAATTTGAACTCAGTTTGACTAGTGTTAGTGTTTACAGCTAGAACTTTACTTCAGCCATGCTTCCTGTCAGCATTTTTCTGTCTAATTAAAGGTGAAATCTTATGGGCTTTTTCCCTAGCTGGCTTGTAAGTTTTGACCACATTTTTCCATTCTCTCCCCATCTTCACCATTCAAAACTTGGTAACAACTATTCAATTTTACTTCTATGAATTACCATTTTTACTTCCTTTATGTAAGTCAGATCAAGCATATATATGTGTGCCTGAATTATTTCACATAACACAATATCGTCCAGGTCCATACAAACAAATAGCAAATTTATGTGCAATTAAAAACAGAAGAACTCATTTAATAATGCATCATCATTCTATTATTAAAATGGTATTGTTAATAGCACTTTCTATTTCTTTACCACTTGTCATTCCTTATACCAAAGATCAATTTTGATCTTTTTCAATAAATTTCCATTAGAACTATGGTATGTGGCCTGACTGTCATACTGTCATGGGAGAGGCTTGCAACTTATTAACAAAGTATTACAGGCCTTAGAACTCCATCTATAATGTGTTTACAAAGATCATCAACCAAAGAGTTGGTTAGAAATGTGGGCTCTCAAAGCCCAACCCAGATCTACTGTATAAAAATTTGCTTTTAATTAAGATTGCCAGGTGGATCTCATAGACATGCAAGTGTAAATACAAAGATGAATCACACATTTCATATGAATGATTTTTTAATAAATTTCCAAGATAATATTTGACATCATTGCAAGAAAATCTGAGATAAAAATAAAAAACAGCCTTACCTTTGTTTCTGGCCTAATTCCAGAAGCTTCTGAACATCAGTTTTAGCAGACTGTTCATCGTTTTTTAAAGACTGACAAAAGAAGAGGGAAAAGCAAGTGTTATTTAGGTTAAAAATTGTGGCTCACTTTACTATTAGTTGTCTAATACAGCTGTGACTACATCTGTGCCCCATATCAAAAATGTGGCAGCAAGGTCTTAGTGTTCCTCAGGATCCTGGGAATTTGGCCATACGCTGTTATACATTCTACAATGTGAATGGCAGAGACAAAGTTGAGTTTTGCTTTTGGAGGTTTGATGGAGAAACATTCTCCAGCTATCTAAGCGTCTTTATAAGTGAATATAAAATATAGTTTTTCCATTTCCTTTGAAGTTTTGCTGTGTTCTCTGCAGGCATGCTGAACTAGCTCTAGCTTACTTTCAACAAATACAAGCAGAAATAAAAAGCGTCTTTGTGTAAGTCAGGAAATAACACAATTAAAGATGAAAGCAGTCAAAAGGCACATGCCTGTCAGGTCTTGTCTATTTCTTATTTATGATTAGTGCATTAAGATACCAGGAAACATAGGGCTGTGGAAATTTCTGAGTGGTTTCTATGGATTGGGTATTAAGAAAAGAGTGTTTACATACTCTTGCTACTTCAGGATTCAACTGAATTAGAAAAGACCCGTGAGCCTTCCCTGTAAAATAATCTGTCATATTAAACCTTTAATAATTTTCTCTTCCATATGGAATACATTATTTAATTGAGTAAGTTGTCACTCGACATCTCATAAAGGTTAAAAAAGCAAAGTAGTAATATTGTTTGCCGAGAATCTGTGACAAGATAAAACAATAGGAGAAAAGGAAAAGGAAAGAAAAGAAAAGAAAACAGTAAATGCTATGTTTAGTTATTTATTCATATTATAACTCCTGCAAAGGTCTCATTACTGCAGCATGGTGCCCACCTCCACAGGTATTTCACTCTCACACTAAAAGAGACAATTTAAATATAATATGAAATGTATCATTATGGAGATGTGGTTCCCAACAGGACAGGCTGAATTTCTCACCAGGAAGCTGCCAATAAGCAGTGTTCTGTTTGTTTGTAAAGAATAGCTTCACATAAAATACAAAGAAATATGGATGAGGAATTTAAATAGAAGAAAAGGTCATCATTCATAAGAGTTGCAGATAAGAGTGTATTACGGTCACATAAACTGGGGCCGGTTAAGAACTCAGCCCTTTGACTTCTACAAAAGATAGAGGAAATATAAAGAGTTTCTTCAGTTACTTATTCAGTTTCTTTCAGTCCCAACTCGATGGAGATGACAGATATGTAAAAACACTAGGGAAAAGGGTGTGCTGAAATATTTATTCATTTAATGACAATCTTCTATAATGTGGATATGTTTAAGACACCAGATTAAAATGAGACTGATGAACTAAAGAAATGTAACTGTAACCAATCTGTACATCACCTTTATGACAATTTTTTTAAATGCATGAAAAAAAACAGTAGTCATGAAGCTGAAGGTTTAGCTCAGGGACAAGGCATACATAGCAGGGGTACATGTGTGAGAGGCTCAGGGTTCATTCCCCAGAAGATTTATTCTCCACACACATGCACATAGGTATGTACACCTGTGCACACACAAATATATGTGCAAATACCCACATAAACACGTGCACACATGGACATTTATTTATGTATGCATGAACATGTACCCAAACCCATGCATGCACACAAAATATACCAACATGTGTTTGTGTTTATTTAGAAATGCATAGATACACATATTTTTGCACACATACACAAAAAAAAGGCATACGTATACCATGGAGGAACAAAACTAGGTGAGGATATGGAAGGAATAAATCTATGCAGATAGGATCAGTAAGAGCTGGAATATGCTTGGCTATCATTTCCTCAGCAAAGTTCAGGGGAACCACTCTAATTATTTGAAAGTAATCTTGGTTTCCTTAATGACATCAAAAGGTGTAATACCATCTAATTAGGCAAACTACTAGTTATGATCTCATTTAGGTGATATGGTTACAAGGATGAATAAGATTTGGAAGGTGAAGTTGAATTTTCAATGCTCTGTTTTTTAAATTTCCCTTTTAAAAATAAAATGGACAATAACCATTCAGTATAATTATGAAATCTGGGCTTGCCATTCACTGTATGTGTGAGTTTACGTACTTCTTTTGATCTCAGCATTTTGCCCCTTTGTTTTATGATGAGTAGAATATATCCTTTGAAGTTTTTAGTTTACTAAGGAAAATTTGATGAGACAAAGGTGAAACCTCTCATAAAAATGTCTCACACTAAACAAACAAAAACATTTTTCAAACAACATTTATGTTAAAATTGGAATTGTTACCTTTTAAAGCACAGTCACTCTATGAAATTATATATTTTGCTAGGCAGTTGCTAGCTTAGGATTTGATTTCTTCACTTAGACAATTGGTGTAGAGACTGAGTGTCCTGGGAATATCTTGAAAATTAATTGTTCCTGGGCACTTCCCTGAATGTTTACAGTGTTAATGAATGGCCAGGTGTTCATGTTTCTGAGAGTGTACACATGGCTTGAATATACTTTCCAGTCATATTCACCCGATGGATTTCCACTTCAAAAGGTACATCTCATGCATTTAGATATAAGAAAGAAAAGGCATGAGAGTCCCCAAAGGTTTCTAATTGGCTTTAGTCAAAATCAGTAACACTCAAGTTTTCAGTAACTTACAGACTGAAACTACCACTGCTAAGATATGTTAGGTTTCCTTTCATATAAAAAAAAAATGAAAATCCAGGGTAATTATAAGCATTTTGATTTTCCAAGAAGAACTACACAGAAAAGAGGCAACAAGGCATATTACACAATCACTATATAATTAATAGATAACAGAAAATCAGATACTTCTGGGATAAAAAGTTATTTCCCACAATAATGCCATATTTTCTTTGATATTTGTAGTAAGACAGATGATTGGGTGTGGTATATCCCTGAGACACTGATTTTGACACTGATGGATAAGATATAAGTTGCAATTTGTATCTCCACTAATCCTGGGCATTGTTTGCCTTCACACAGCCACAATCTCTGTTTGCCACCTGTCACTCACTGAATGCTACTGGGCTGTGGAGGACTGTTTTCCACTTATTTCTATCTTCTATAGGTGTCACACAACTTCAGAAGTGAGCATTGGATTCACATACCAGCTCTGTCCCAAATTATTTGTGGGCTTTTACTTTCTAAGCAATTCTGTAAGTCTATTTTATTACCCATAAAATGGGACTAAAAACTGAAGTAGTTACTCTCAGAAAAATATTAAATAAAAAACATTTATTTGAATTAGGGAAGAGAAGGAGAGCAAAAGAATGGTGAGCCAATGGACAAGGGAGAACCAATGCAATAGCAACATGCACAGGACAATATGTTGGAAACGATCTGTACAACTTTGGGAGAGGGAAATTAGGAGAAAAATGAGGGAAGGGGTAACAAGCTTGACAAGAAATGTACTTATTACCTTACTTATGTAACTGCAACCCCTATATACATCACTTTGACAATAAAAAGTAAAGAAAAAACAGAAACATTTAACCTATTGATCAGCTATAATAACAATTGATAATAAATTGACACTTGTGAGCCCATGAAAAAAGAAGTGTCAGCAACATTTCAAATCTGAAATAAATTTCGATTTGATCTTTTCCACTGAGATTTCACCACATGAATATATCTTCCATCTATGGCAACTATGTATCACACTATTGAAGTTTATGGTTTATTATGGAATCTTCAAAACTATTTAAGAGGATTTAAAAATCTTTTTTTTTTTTTTTTTTTTTTTTTGTCGTGGGGCTTGAACTCTGGGCTTGGGCACTCTCCTTGTGCTCTTTAGCTCAAAGCGAACACTCTACTGCTTGAGCCATAACACCACTTCCGGTTTTCTAGTGGTTTATTGGAGATAAGAGTCTCACGGACTTTCCTGTCCTGGTGAACCATAATCCTTAGATCTCAGCCTCCTGTGTAGCTAGGATTACAGGCATGAGCCACCGGCGCCCAGCTAAATGTTATTCTTAAATCCATTCAACTCTTGGCCTATTTATTTTTATCATTTTGTAATATGAAAATACAAGATTCAATTTGCTGTCAGAAGTATGAAGAATTGGTAGCCTTACCAAACATCCACTTTGCTCCTTTATGTATTTGCAAAGACAGGCCCCTTGACTAGATTTCAAATCACATCTCATTTCAATGCTTACATAATAATCAATAACTAGCCTGTTCAAGCCCCAAAACCTATTAAAGCTATTTAAAATGCATACTAATTTGCTGAGGGAGATCATGTGAATGAATGTTCATTCTAGCCTTCCGTGAAAATTAAGTTTTTATCTTACCTGAAGGTTCACTTTAATTCCATCAAGTTCCCTTGATGTCTTTGTTAGCTGACGCAGGATGGAGCTTCGCTCCTTAAATACTTCTTTTAGCTGCTTTTCAAGTTCTTCATAGTCCTGTCTAACACAGAAAGAAAAGGCATGAGAGTCCCCAAAGGTTTCTAATTGGCTTTAGTCAAAATCAGTAACACTCAAGTTTTCAGTAACTTACAGACTGAAACTACCACTGCTAAGATATGTTAGGTTTCCTTTCATATAAAAAAAAAAAATGAAAATCCAGGGTAATTATAAGCATTTTGATTTTCCAAGAAGAACTACACAGAAAAGAGGCAACAAGGCATATTACACAATCACTATATAATTAATAGATAACAGAAAATCAGATACTTCTGGGATAAAAAGTTATTTCCCACAATAATGCCATATTTTCTTTGATATTTGTAGTAAGACAGATGATTGGGTGTGGTATATCCCTGAGACACTGATTTTGACACTGATGGATAAACTTAAAGACACATTTAGTCTAGACACATTTAATCTAGGAAGCTGGTGTCTTGCTAATTGTCATTGAAATAGATACTTGTTGAAAGTATGTTTAAGTAAATCAATTGTGCTTGCCTTGCATGCATGAGACCCTGGGTTCGATTCCCCAGCACCACATAAGCAAAAAGAAAAAAAGCTGGAAGTGGCGCTGTGGCTCAAGTGGTAGAGCGCTAGTCTTGAGCTGAAGAACTGAGGGACAGGGCCCAGGCCCAGAGTTCAGGCCCCATGACAGGACCCCCCCCCCAAAAAAAAAACTTGCTACAACTTCTAACTGAGGGATTAAGTGACTATCCAATGGGTTTATTCAAGGAAGGGGTATGCAAGTAATGTGTACATATATGCCTGTGAGGGGAGTTTTGGCATAGATTGAAAGAAGACAACATAATTTCCCATGTAATCTTTACCTATGGGCTGGTAGAGGGAGATCACAGTGATTAATCAGACACAGAAAGGGACCACAAAGCCAGGAAAAAAACATTATAGAAAAAAATAGTATAAACTATATCAGATACTTTGAGAAATAAATAGAAATTTGTTACATGAAAGGGAAAAACATAAGGTAGGTTTGGTGTCCCATGCCTGTAACCCTAGCTACTTAGGAAGCAGTGGTAGTAAGATCATGGTCTGACATCATCCAGGGCAAAGTTAGCATGAATCTCTATCATAAAAAAAAATCTTAAAAACAGCCAGGCACTGGTGGCTCACGCCTGTAATCCTAACTACTCAGGAGGCTGAAATCTGAGGATGGAGGTTCAAAGCCAGCCTGGGAGGAAAGTCAGTGAAACTCTAATCTCCAATAAACCACCAGAAAACTGGATGTGGCATAGTGGCTCAAAGTGGTAGTGCGCTATCCTTGAGCTGAAGAGCTGAGGGACAGTGTCCAGGCCCATGACTAAGTAAAAAAAAAAAAAAAAAAATCTTAAAAACGAAAATCAAAAGACTGGGGGTATAGCATAAGGAGTATAAGTGCAAGGTTGTGAGTTCAGTCTCTAGTATTGAGCTAAAACAAAATCAAAACAGAAAACTTTTTAATACAGTCAAATATTGAATTATAGTCTTACAAAGTTAGAGGGATGGGTGAGAATTTTGAAAGTGGTAACATTGATCAAGTTGTATTGCATCCATAAACTACTTTGTTGAATGGCAACTCCTTTGAATACGTACTTAAAGATAACAAATATTCATATAATAAAAACAAATTCTGTAAATAAATCCAAAGAATAAATTCATTTGAACTTTTAAGGAGATAGTAAATATCAGAAGTTTTGAAGTTGTCATCAATAAGGAGATCTACTGTGAAATAAGGATTTGGGAAGGATGGAGAAAAGCAAGCAAGCTTCTAAAATGAAGCCTAAAAGTTTGAAAACTGGTTTGGCAAGGAAAGACAAGTAAATGAAGTAAATAGGACAGACATGGTCTGGAAAGGTTTTCCTATACAAAAACATTAGATTGTATCGAAACAGAGGAAATCCCTTGAGAAAGTGAGGCTATTTCGGGTCTGGGAAGGTGGCTCAGTGGTAGAGTGCTTGCCTTGCCTGCGTGAGGCCCTGGGTTCAATTCCTCAGCACCACATAAGCAGAAAAAGCCAGAAGTGGCACTGTGGCTCAAGTGGTGGAGCATTTGCTTTGAGCCAGGCCCAGAGTTGAGGTCCCATGACCCACAAAAAGAAAGAAAAAAGGGAGGCTATTCCTATAATAAACACTTTGTATGGCATGCAAGTGGCTATAACTCTAGGGATAACACAAATAATAAAATTTCTTGGAAAGACAAAGCTAAAGCCTAACAAAATAAGCACCAGGAGATGGGTATTAATCAGTATGAGGCAAAGGGGAGAGGAGTAGGTAGATACGAGTGAAAAGAAGGAAGGGAGAACACAGTCAAGAATTCATTGTCAAAATTAAGGAAAGTAAGGGAATGGGTGAGTTAGAGGCGGTGAGAAGGTTGGAAAGGGTGGCATTGATCAAGACACATTGTACTCATAAACTGCTTTGTTCAATGGCAACTCCTTTGTACAACTATTTAAAGATCATAAGTAATAATTAAATAATAAAAAGAAAGGGAGGCTATTAATTGAGGAACTTTAGCATTTTTGCTTGTCCAAGGAAAAGATTGGGACAATCTAACAAGGACCAAAGGAGGAGGCAACAATGCTCGACAGGAAATGTACTCATTACCATGCTCATGTAATTGTAACCCCTCTGTACAGTATTTTCACAATAAAAAAATACAAAAATAATTTTTTATTGATTTCACCAAATTTTAAACATAAAATCAATTAGATACTTTTTAATAAAATGCCTTTGTTCATCTCTGTTACGGGACGTGTGTGCGAGGCAGCTACTTAATAACAGGAGAGGATGATATATACAACTAATGGACAGCTTCTTTCATTGAGATACAGTATTTGGGTAAGAGGGGTTAAGTTCACATTTAGGAAGTTGGCTCAAACTCTCTGAGCTTTACCTCATTTAGCTGTAAAATACAGGGCTGGCTTCATCATATTTTTATGTGTGAACACAAAAACTTAAATAAGTCTTTGAACCTGCAATAAATAGTGAATTAAAAATACCACATATCAATTATTGAGATACTTAGTGAGTTTTAGAGTCATTCTGAAAAATTATAAAATAACTGCATTCATCAGAGACTTTAGAAATGAATAAGGGTGTCCCATATACAAGAGACTTGTATTATAATCTTCACAACTTATTTGCTAAATGTCTCTATCAATCTTCAATTATTTTTATTTAATTGAAATCGGAAGGACTACTGCTTATGAGATTTGCACTTACCAGACCATAATAATATTAATAATAAGCCATGTGCCTTTGTTCACAACTGTAACCCTAGTTACTTCAGAGATCTGACATTCATGGTTTGAAGTCATTCTGGGCAAAAGTGTCTGTGAGACTCTTTTTTTATATATGATTATTTTTATTGTGAAAATATTGTACAGAGGGGTTACAATTACGTGGGCGAGATAGTGAGTACATTTCTTATCAAGCATTGTTGCCTCCTCCTTTGTTTCCCCATACCATCCCTTCCCCTCTCCACTCCCCTACCCCCATTACCCTCCTCCCCACCCACATTCCCCACCCCACCAAAGTTGTAAAGTTCGTTTTTCGACACAAAGTCTTGTACATCTCATTGTCGCACTGGATCTTGTATCCCTATTTAAACAATTTGCTTTTTCTCTTCCCCTCCACAAATTATACCAACACTGAATACAGTGAAAACAGGGGTTATACCGTGGGGGAGGGACATACAATCTGTGAGACTCTTATCTCGAAATACACTGGAAATAGAGATGTGGCTCAAGTTATAGAATACTGATCTTGAGAACAAAACACCCAAGTGCTGAATTAAACCCCCAGGACCTACCAGGACTGGAAAAAAAAAGAAAAAAGAAGAAAAAAGAAAAGACAAGAAAAGGAAAGCTATTAAGGTACCAGGAGTCTATTCAGTCTCACTGACAGTCAAGAAACAAAAGAAAAGACACATCTTCATTTCATTTCAATGTTAATTCAAGTAACTCTTTTTCGCATACAGTAATCTCATCTCTAAATATTGTGACAATAATTAATCAAACTGGTAGATAATATGAATTGACAATATATTACACACAAGGTGTTATTATAAATAAAAATTCATTTAATCTTCAGAACAAATCCATCACTTAAGCAACTGTAGTAATACTTTTCTACATATAGATGTTCACAAAATTGAACTTATTTGTCATTTGTGACATTATTAAATTAAAATATGAATGGCATGTCCCTTATTTTTCCCCATAATTGATACTGATATCCCATTTTATGGGATCCAATCAGAATGTCAGCCATTCAGCAACCAAGCAATAGAATATGCTAGTGAGCATGAACATGAGGGGAAGAGGTGTTTATGAAAATCGGCTCTTTATAAATTTCCATGATCCGCTTCCAGACACCATGCAAATAATGTGCAGTTTCCTCAAAATATTAGAGGTAGAACGCTATACCATCTTTGGGCATACACCTGAATGAATGTAAATGAACATACAAGAGAAAGAGCAACACACCCAAAGTTACAGCAGTAGGATTACAACAGCCAAAGTAGGGAACCAGCCTAGGGATGTAATATCACATGAGTGAATAAAGAACATATGGTGTATATTTATGATATCCATAAAAATAATAAAATTAGGTCATTTGTTGGAAAGTAGGTGGAACTTTAGGTCATCATAATAAGCAACAACAAATCCTCAAAGAAACAACCACCCTATCAACAAGTGGGCGAAAAACTTAGAGAGTCTTCTCTGAAGAGGAAATAAAAATGGCCAATAGACACATGAAGAAATGCTCAACTTCTCTAGCCATAAAAGAAATGCAAATCAAAACCACATTGAGATTCCACTCACCCCAGTTAGAATGGCTACAATCAAGAAATCTAATAACAACAGATGCTGGAGGGGATGTGGCCAAAAGGGAACGCTACTGCATTGTTGGTGGGAGTGTAAACTTTTTCAACCACTTTGGAAAGCAGTATGGAGGTTCCTCAAAAATCTACACATAGAGCTCCTCTATGACTCAGCAATCCCAC